TGTGAGTCACAATAAAGTCCCACTCCTCAGACTTCCTAGCCTCAGAAGTGCAAACGTAGAGAAAGAGCCACAATTCAGCCCCACTCTGCTCTCTCCAGCATCCCACGATGTCAGCCAAGTGAACGCAGCGGCTCCGGGCAAGGAGGTGATAGAGCCACCTGTCAAGGTGATAGAGCCACCTGTTAAGGTGATAGAGCCACGTGTCAAGGTGATCGAGAACCAAGTCATTAAAGATCCCAGCCTTTTTGCAGAGGACAAACCAGTGAAGGATAGTGGAAAACCAGAGGACAGGAGCAAAGCATCTGCAGACACTGGCAGGTGAGGAAGGATTTGGGGCTCCCACTCAGAGAGCATCTCAGAGGCCAAGGACGTGAGGCTGGGCCCCCAGGTCTGAGCAGGAGAGCCTGTCCACTTCCTGATCATGGGGCAGCCCTCACTGCCACTGTGGTGCTTGGGAGAGGCCATTGGTGCTCTCGGCCCTTCTCCAGGGGCTGGGGCAGTGTTTACCACCCAGGTCAATTTCCCAGGCCTGGGATGCAGAGAAGGCCCAGCCCTTGCCTTTGCCATGTCTGGGAAGGTTTCTTAGCACAATGGAGCTGGAGGGTTCTATCAGGAGGAGGGACTGGGTCAACCTGAGAGGAAGATCTAGCCAAAGCCAGCACAACGCGGGGCACCAGGTTTCCTTTTCCATGACGAACGCACCCAATCTCTCTTCCAGCTCTGCGGGACAAGGAGGGAGCTCCACAGTGCTGGTCTCCACGCTGGTGCCCCTGGCCCTGGTGCTAGCACTGGGGGCCATGGCGGTGGCGGTGGTTAGAGCCCGGCATAGGAGGAACGTTGGTGAGTCCCGGGATGCTCCCTGCCCCCCACCTCCCACCCCTTAGGTGGGGGGCTGCCATGTTCTCTGCTCTTTCATCAACTCAAGAAGAGGTTCTGGGGAAGCAGGGTGGGGAAAGATAAACCCGCAGGTGCCCCAAACTTACATGAAGTGCTGCTATCTCTGGAAGGCCACTCCCCGCTGGCTCAGGTCCAAGTTCAGAGGCAGAGCTGCTAAAGCGGACAGCAGGGTGCTCGGGCACCTGCACTTCCAGCCTAATCTGAGAACTGATTGGATGTGTGACTTTGGGTGTCCCATTTCACACCTCACGGTTCAGGACAGGGATCATCATACCACCTCAGAGGGCTGATGAGAGGACAACACGAGGCGCTGTGCACGGAAAGGTCTCAGAGTGACAAACAGACCAGGGATTAGTGAGTCTTGATTATTCATGAACAGAGACTGGGAGGAGACTCATAACACTTCCAGTCTGCTTTGGGTCATAGAGATGAGCAGCCAGAGACCCTGTCCTCCCCCAGCTGTCCTGGGGGGCTCCCTCTGAGAGAAGCAGCACGCCCTGCTCTCCTATGTCCTCAATCCCATATCTACACCAAATCCTCTTTCCCCTGACAGACCGGGTTTCGATTGGAAGCTACAGGACAGACTTCAGCATGACGGACTTGGAGAACTCCAGGGATTTTGGAACCAATGACAACATGGGAGCCTCTACGATCACTATCACTCAGGAGACATCTCTCGGAGGAGAAGATGGTACGTCCCTCACTTGAGAGGATGCCTGACCCCTGGGGAGCAAGAATTAGAGCTGATTCTGCCCGGCAGGTGTGGCTCAGTGGTTGAGCATAGACCTATGCACCAGGAGGTCGCTGGTTCGATTCCCAGTCAGGGCACATGCCCGGGTTGCAGACTCGGTCCCCAGGGTGGGGTGTGCAGGAGACAGCCAATCAATGATTCTCTCTCACCATTGATGTTTCTACCTCTCTCTCTTCCTCCCTTTCTAAAAATCAATGAAAACATTTTTTTTTTAAAAGAACTAGAGCTGACTCTGTGTGGGGTGGAAATGGGAGGCTAGTGAGGGCTAATTCACCCCCTTCTCTTCACACAGAGCTCACGGCCACCACCGAGGACACTGTGGAGACCCAAGAGCCCAAGAAGGCCAAGAGGGTAAGGGTGAGGAGGGGGAAGGAGGCCTCCCTTGGGTGACAAAAAAAACACAGTATGAGGGACTGCAGTTAGACATTAGGAAAAACTACCTCAGAGTAGGGCTGTGTCAGAGCAGGGAAGGCGGGATGAGCAGTGTTCAGGAGAAATGTCTGAAGTTGAGACGCATTTTACTGGCGTGGCACTGGGCAGGTAGATGCACTATGTGTATAGGCTGAATGCACGCAGGAGGGAGGGAGGCTGGGGAGGAGCAAGGCAAGTGCATGAAGTTTGGCCCCAGCGTGGGAAGGTCAAATATGAAAGGCTGGTGATTAGGCAGGTGCTCCTCCCGGGCTGGGGGCCCATGGACTTCATGTCACCCACCCTCCCTTGAGAGTTTGCTCATGACGGGCCTTTCGCCTGGGCCTGGAAGACATTTGAGGCTGGTGGGCAATTTGATAGTCACTAGATGTCCCTCCTCACCCCAACCAAGTGCGACTTCACTTGAAATCCTATCAGAGGGGACTCCTGTCTGTGGGTCACTATCACCCTCCCCTCGGCCTCCCTGATCCCAAGGTGATAGCGTTTATCAGGTCTGCTCTCCCTCACAGCAGCCAAGCCCAGCATTTGGAACAGTGATGGGAACCAGTTAGTTCTGGAGACAGTCTTTCCCCTCCAGTCTTGTGTTGTGTCCCTGGGCGGGTAGAGGAAGCCTGGACCACTCACCCAATGTGGCTGCTGCCAGCCTCGACCCCTTGCCCTCATGAACTGTGTGGGCAGAGCTTCCGGGGACAGGCCCAGGCAGCAGAGGGTTCCACTCCATGTGTCGGAAGGAGGTAGTGAGACCAGAGGGAGATATTTTTAGAAGCTGTGACTTTCCGTTTCTTGTTGGTAAGCATGGGGGCTGGCATAAGAACAGGTAGTCAACACAGGCTTGGGTTGCGGGGCCAGGGTTATGAATTCAGGATATTTAGTGTATCCTCTCCTTCCAACCCCCTTGCTGAGCGAATGCTCCAAACACTGACTCCTCTCTCATTCCCCCTCAGTCCTCCAAGGAGGAAGCTGACATGGCCCACACTGCCTTCCTGCTCCAGGCCAACAACATGGCGACCAACGTCCAAGATGGCCCCAGCGAAGCCTAGGCCAAGCGCCCTGCCTCCTCCTTCCACCCTTGACAATCACCTTCAGAATCATGTTGATCCTTAGGGCCCTCAGCTCGGGGGGCTCGCTGCCTGCACGCAACCCCACCCAGGCTTTTCCTACCTAGTCCCTCTTCAGTGGCATCCAATCCTGGCTTCATTGTTCCTGTTGGGGGCGAGGTGATGTGAGGAGTTCCTGTTTGAGGGAACTTCTTTCTAATGAGACAACTAAGATGTGGAAAGAGAAGGAATTTTTAGAAAGGCCTCCTCAAAAAAAAAAAGAAAAAAAAATAAAGAAAGAAAAGAAAAGAAAAAAGAAAAAAAGAGCTCAGGAAGGGTGGGAGGTAATTTTAGAAAGGAGGGCCATTCAGGGCTTCTCTGTACCCTTATTATGGGATGTCAATGGGATTCTCCTCTTTACTCCATCCCTTCATCTCTTATCCCCTCCCTCCCATCCATCCTCTCTTCTACTTTCCTTCATTAAAAATACATATACGAACTCTGGCCAGGTAGCTCAGTTGGTTAGAGCGTCATCCTGATACTACAAGGTTGCAGGTTCCATCCCTGGACAGGACATATATAGGACGCAACCAACGAATGCATAAATAAGTGGAACAATAAATCAATGTTTCTCTCTTTCTCTCTCAAATCGATCAATAAATAAAAATGAAACACACACACACACACACACACACACACACACACACACACATATTAATCCTCACCAGAACCCAGGCATCTAGCAGAATGAACAGAGATGCTGCACACCCAGCCTGCAGCCTTTGTGTAAACATCACTGAGTCCTTGGAAGCCACAGCTCCTCTCAGTGTATTGTACTCACTACGACCTGAAATCCTCATCAGGTATACTCACCTCTCTGTCCACCTTGGGACAAATCAGAAAATGTCTCGAGTTCTGAGGTCTTAGGGATCCCGTAACATGGGCATATATACAACGAACCTTAAATACATGTTCTTAACACTTTACAGGGTAGAAAATTGAGGTCCTGAGAGGTGAAGAGGTTTGCTCAGGGGCACCAAATGAGTTACACTGATTTGATGACTCCTGTTTTCTTGGCCAGGGATCTCTCTACAAGAGCCCCTGCTCTCCTGGTGAAAACAGGATTCTAGAACAAGCAGAAGGGGAGGGAGAGGGGGAGGAAGACAAAATTGCAAATGGAGGCTGGTCTTTCCCAAGCCCCACCTCTGGTAAGACAACCGGTTCCCTTTCTGTCACTCACATGAATCTAAGAGGATAAGAGAATGGTCCAACACTCACAGCCCCTGTATTAGAAGAGTACCGAGTGGAAGGGAAGATAAGAGGGTATTTGATGGTGCCAAGGGAGGGTCTGGTCTCCAAAGAGCTAAGGTTTAAGGTCTTTCTCCCTCTGAGCTCTGTACCTCAACCAGCTGGCACTTGCTCACAAATAAAAATGTGACTTAATTAATAATTAAAGACTATGATTTCCACCAAAGAGGCTTAGACTGCATCTGTCCCCCATACCTTCTGTTTCCCAGACAACCCTTTCAGAGCAGTTTGCTTGGACCCCACTTTCAGGCACCCCATAACATGTATCTAAAACAAAGTCTCTTCTATCTCCATCACTGGGCTGAGGAGAGCTATGAAATTCCCTCCAAATGGGACCAAGATTATATTCAATACAAGAATAATTTGGTCACCACCAATGGTCAAGACCCCAAACCTCTGTGTAATAGAACATAATTAAGACTATTTATAACAGAACAAACTGAAAGCAGGTACAATCAGTGCTCCTCTTAGGCATTCAAAAAAATCTTGGTGAAGCATCCATAGAAACTAGAGCTGACTCTGTGTGGGGTGGGAATGGGAGGCTAGTGAGGGCTAATTCACCGCCTTCTCTTCACACAGAGCTCACGGCCACCACCGAGGACACTGTGGAGACCCAAGAGCCCAAGAAGGCCAAGAGGGTAAGGGTGAGGAGGGGGAAGGAGGCCTCCCTTGGGTGACAAAAAAAACACAGTATGAGGGACTGCAGTTAGACATTAGGAAAAACTACCTCAGAGTAGGGCTGTGTCAGAGCACAAAGAAACACAGTATGAGGGACTGCAGTTAGACATTAGGAAAAACTACCTCAGAGTAGGGCTGTGTCGGAGCAGGGAAGGCGGGATGAGCAGTGTTCAGGAGAAATGTCTGAGGTTGAGACGCATTTTACTGGCGTGGCGCTGGGCAGGTAGATGCACTATGTGTATAGGCTGAACGCACGCAGGAGGGAGGGAGGCTGGGGAAGAGCAAGGCAAGTGCATGAAGTTTGACCCCAGCGTGGGAAGGTCAAATATGAAAGGCTGGTGATTAGGCAGGTGCTCCTCCCGGGCTGGGGGCCCATGGACTTCATGTCACCCACCCTCCCTTGAGAGTTTGCTCATGACGGGCCTTTCGCCTGGGCCTGGAAGACATTTGAGGCTGGTGGGCAATTTGATAGTCACTAGATGTCCCTCCTCACCCCAACCAAGTGCGACTTCACTTGAAATCCTATCAGAGGGGACTCCTGTCTGTGGGTCACTATCACCCTCCCCTCGGCCTCCCTGATCCCAAGGTGATAGCGTTTATCAGGTCTGCTCTCCCTCACAGCAGCCAAGCCCAGCATTTGGAACAGTGATGGGAACCAGTTAGTTCTGGAGACAGTCTTTCCCCTCCAGTCTTGTGTTGTGTCCCTGGGCGGGTAGAGGAAGCCTGGACCACTCACCCAATGTGGCTGCTGCCAGCCTCGACCCCTTGCCCTCATGAACTGTGTGGGCAGAGCTTCCGGGGACAGGCCCAGGCAGCAGAGGGTTCCACTCCATGTGTCGGAAGGAGGTAGTGAGACCAGAGGGAGATATTTTTAGAAGCTGTGACTTTCCGTTTCTTGTTGGTAAGCATGGGGGCTGGCATAAGAACAGGTAGTCAACACAGGCTTGGGTTGCGGGGCCAGGGTTATGAATTCAGGATATTTAGTGTATCCTCTCCTTCCAACCCCCTTGCTGAGCGAATGCTCCAAACACTGACTCCTCTCTCATTCCCCCTCAGTCCTCCAAGGAGGAAGCTGACATGGCCCACACTGCCTTCCTGCTCCAGGCCAACAACATGGCGACCAACGTCCAAGATGGCCCCAGCGAAGCCTAGGCCAAGCGCCCTGCCTCCTCCTTCCACCCTTGACAATCACCTTCAGAATCATGTTGATCCTTAGGGCCCTCAGCTCGGGGGGCTCGCTGCCTGCACGCAACCCCACCCAGGCTTTTCCTACCTAGTCCCTCTTCAGTGGCATCCAATCCTGGCTTCATTGTTCCTGTTGGGGGCGAGGTGATGTGAGGAGTTCCTGTTTGAGGGAACTTCTTTCTAATGAGACAACTAAGATGTGGAAAGAGAAGGAATTTTTAGAAAGGCCTCCTCAAAAAAAAAAAGAAAAAAAAATAAAGAAAGAAAAGAAAAGAAAAAAGAAAAAAAGAGCTCAGGAAGGGTGGGAGGTAATTTTAGAAAGGAGGGCCATTCAGGGCTTCTCTGTACCCTTATTATGGGATGTCAATGGGATTCTCCTCTTTACTCCATCCCTTCATCTCTTATCCCCTCCCTCCCATCCATCCTCTCTTCTACTTTCCTTCATTAAAAATACATATACGAACTCTGGCCAGGTAGCTCAGTTGGTTAGAGCGTCATCCTGATACTACAAGGTTGCAGGTTCCATCCCTGGACAGGACATATATAGGACGCAACCAACGAATGCATAAATAAGTGGAACAATAAATCAATGTTTCTCTCTTTCTCTCTCAAATCGATCAATAAATAAAAATGAAACACACACACACACACACACACACACACACACACACACACATATTAATCCTCACCAGAACCCAGGCATCTAGCAGAATGAACAGAGATGCTGCACACCCAGCCTGCAGCCTTTGTGTAAACATCACTGAGTCCTTGGAAGCCACAGCTCCTCTCAGTGTATTGTACTCACTACGACCTGAAATCCTCATCAGGTATACTCACCTCTCTGTCCACCTTGGGACAAATCAGAAAATGTCTCGAGTTCTGAGGTCTTAGGGATCCCGTAACATGGGCATATATACAACGAACCTTAAATACATGTTCTTAACACTTTACAGGGTAGAAAATTGAGGTCCTGAGAGGTGAAGAGGTTTGCTCAGGGGCACCAAATGAGTTACACTGATTTGATGACTCCTGTTTTCTTGGCCAGGGATCTCTCTACAAGAGCCCCTGCTCTCCTGGTGAAAACAGGATTCTAGAACAAGCAGAAGGGGAGGGAGAGGGGGAGGAAGACAAAATTGCAAATGGAGGCTGGTCTTTCCCAAGCCCCACCTCTGGTAAGACAACCGGTTCCCTTTCTGTCACTCACATGAATCTAAGAGGATAAGAGAATGGTCCAACACTCACAGCCCCTGTATTAGAAGAGTACCGAGTGGAAGGGAAGATAAGAGGGTATTTGATGGTGCCAAGGGAGGGTCTGGTCTCCAAAGAGCTAAGGTTTAAGGTCTTTCTCCCTCTGAGCTCTGTACCTCAACCAGCTGGCACTTGCTCACAAATAAAAATGTGACTTAATTAATAATTAAAGACTATGATTTCCACCAAAGAGGCTTAGACTGCATCTGTCCCCCATACCTTCTGTTTCCCAGACAACCCTTTCAGAGCAGTTTGCTTGGACCCCACTTTCAGGCACCCCATAACATGTATCTAAAACAAAGTCTCTTCTATCTCCATCACTGGGCTGAGGAGAGCTATGAAATTCCCTCCAAATGGGACCAAGATTATATTCAATACAAGAATAATTTGGTCACCACCAATGGTCAAGACCCCAAACCTCTGTGTAATAGAACATAATTAAGACTATTTATAACAGAACAAACTGAAAGCAGGTACAATCAGTGCTCCTCTTAGGCATTCAAAAAAATCTTGGTGAAGCATCCATAGAATACTTGACCTTGAATTTCATACCTTAATGGGGTATCCTCCAAGATCAAGAAACTGTTCATCAAAATTCAAGTTACCAAATAAATAAACTCCCTCCACAGGAATATCACCTAGAAGTTACTTAAAGAATAGCTTGGCTTTTAGAATAGTTGATCCAAAGTCACTTGGAGGACAGTGATTAGATTAAAAAAAAATTTTCAAAAAACCATCATTGTCTACTAAGGCCATTCCTAGGTTCTAGCACTGAAACTTGTCAGAACCTATAAGCGCCCACCCCAGCCCAGACTCCTCCTCCGGGCTCTGTGTATGGAGAGTTCTCTCTGGGAGGGAGTTCTTCCCAGCCTTCTCTCCTGCCTGAGGTGGGGCACAACCTTCACTTCCACCCAGGCCTTGAACATGATGCTTCTGATGCCACATGCTTCCTAAGCCTGCCCTTGACAGGACTCAGACATCAGTCCTCCTTGTCTCCCCTCCAGCCCCACCAACCCCAGTGCCCAGTCCTGAGCCTTGGGCTCCTCCCTGGCCAGGAGGGGTGGTTGTCTGGAATATTTCTCTGTCCTCTACATCGGGGATACATACCTAGCTTCTCCGGAATGAGAGCAAATCAGTCCAGGAGCCCCAACACTACAGGTGTGTGTCAAACCCTATCACAGTTTTACCCCTGGGAAACTGCTCTCTGACTCACCAAAGGGTCATGCCTGGGACAGAGGCTTAAGGTGCAGCTTCCGTATTAATACCAACAACCTGCAGCCAATCCTAAGCCTGTGCAGCCTATATCAGTCCCTAGAATCAAAAGCCAAGATATGTCACTAAAGCTGCAGACAATCCTATATTATTCTTGACTAAGAAATCGAGGTTAAAAATCCATAGCATTCCCATATAGTAGATGCTCAAATAATTGTCAGATAAGTTCAAGGGCTACAACCAGCACCTCTGACTCAGGCACAAGCTTCTGTCCACACAGCCTCCCTCAGACCAAGAAAAGTGGTGATGAGGCTCTTATATCCTGAAGACAAGAAAAAAGTAGAAGGACTCTGGCTAAGACATCAATGAATACACATAAGGCATGGGAGGCCCCTCCAAGAGAAAGTGCCCAAGACAAAGAAATATCATGCCTGGTAGTTTCTGGTGGTCTTTAGGATCTGCGTAGAAGCCTTTGAACCCTGGTGACCCAATCTCGTGCAACACATGTTTTCTCAACTCCTGACTTCCGTTGTGGTTTGCTGATGTTTTCTTTTTTGGTCTAAGACTAGCAAGCAAATAAGAGGGGCAGTCATTTCCTCATTTTCAAGTCTTCATCCCCACATGGGCCAGAAATCTCTTTCAAACCCCAGATTGTGACAGTTCCTGGGTGAGCAGTGGATCTTTGTCCCCCTCTCCTGAGGCTCTTGAATGGGACCTTGTCCTGGAAGGAGCCATGGACCTCTGGCTTTGGTTAATTTACTTCCTGCCCACAGGTAAGTGCTGTGGGGAAAGAGCTTGCATGTCTGATGAGGTTTGAATCGGCCATGGGTAGAGAAGTGGCTGGTGTCTCCAGCTCTGAGGTTTCTAGACAGAATGAGGTGCAGACCAATCCTAGGGCAGGACATGGACGGAGGCCAGATGAGGCTTTGGAGAACCTCCCCACATCCTGCTAGCGCCAGTGACAGCTCCGCACATCTCCATGTTCAAGGGCTCTTAAAGCACTTTCATGAGTTTGGTTCCTGCTGGGTCTCATGAAAGCTTGTGAGGTAGGCAGGGCAGGGACCATCCCTATTTTATCAATGACAAAACTGAGGCTCAAAGCTAGAAAGTGCCAAGGCAGGACCAGAAACCAGGACTTCTGACTGGAACCCATGATACCTCGTGGCTGATCGCCTCAGTGTCTCTCCCTTCAGTTCCAGGGCTGTGCCCTTGGACACTTGAGGTCCTGAAGGTATAGCTGTACCAAGCTGCTGTGACTTTAGGCAGAGTTCTGTGTGACTTGTCACACCCTCTCCTGTCATCACCCTTGAGGTCATTGGACAGTTACCTGGGCTCCTGCCAGAGCCAACCCCTTAGGGAGATATAGGAGATATGAAGGGTGGCTGATGTGAGGTTAAGACCCCACGAACAATGTTTTATAGGAGGGAATGCCAGGGATCATCTAGTCCAGTAGTCGGCAAACTGCGGCTCGCGAGCCACATGCGGCTCTTTGGCCCCTTGAGTGTGACTCTTCCACAAAATACCGACTTCTGCGCATGGGCCACAAAGTTTCAATTGCACTGTACATGCGCGCCCGCATGTGGTATTTTGTGGAAGAGCCACACTCAAGGGGCCAAAGAGCCGCATGTGGCTCGCGAGCCGCAGTTTGCCGACTACTGGACTAGATGATCCCTGGCATTCCCTCCTATAAAACATTGTTCGTGGGGTCTTAACCTCACATCAGCCACCCTTCATATCTCCTATATCTCCCTAAGGGGTTGGCTCTGGCAGGAGCCCAGGTAACTGTCCAATGACCTCAAGGGTGATGACAGGAGAGGGTGTGACAAGTCACACAGAACTCTGCCTAAAGTCACAGCAGCTTGGTACAGCTATACCTTCAGGACCTCAAGTGTCCAAGGGCACAGCCCTGGAACTGAAGGGAGAGACACTGAGGCGATCAGCCACGAGGTATCATGGGTTCCAGTCAGAAGTCCTGGTTTCTGGTCCTGCCTTGGCACTTTCTAGCTTTGAGCCTCAGTTTTGTCATTGATAAAATAGGGATGGTCCCTGCCCTGCCTACCTCACAAGCTTTCATGAGACCCAGCAGGAACCAAACTCATGAAAGTGCTTTAAGAGCCCTTGAACATGGAGATGTGCGGAGCTGTCACTTATCAGAGAATTTCCAAAACTTCATTTCTGGATGTTGCATCCCAGGTCGGTTCCCAGGGCCACACCTCTGGGCGCTGCTGCCTCTGGTGCCCACGGGGGACTGAGGCTTCTTCCCACATCCTTCTGGGTGGATGTGGCTCACGGCCTCCAGGCTCCTCAGTGGTCCTGTGCACACCCCTCCCCCTGGCCCCTACACACCAGATTTATCACAAGCTCTCCAAAACACAAAACAATGACGTCCGCAGTGGAAATCGAGTGTGAGGCTCAGAGCAGGTGCAGAGGAAGCGTGTGTGGGGGCGGGCAACCTGCCCTGCCCACCCTATCTGTGTCTCTACCAGCCCGGAGCAGCTGTACTCGTGACTTCCTGCAACCACACTCGGCCAACGGGTCAGTGGGCAGCCTCAGGCTCTGATTAGAGTGAGTGAAGGCCAGAGGCCACAGGTCCCCTTAGCCTCCATCCTTCCTGACTTCGAGAGCTCTGCCACATAGCTGGGCAGCTATGGGTTCCATGTCTGGGACTGTCTTGGAGAGAGAGAACAAATGAAGGAATGTGTCGTAGGTGTGATTGCGGGCGTGAGTGTGTGTGAGCGTGAATGTGTAGTGTGTAATGTGTGAGAGTTGAGTGACATATAGCTGTAATGTGTAAGTGTGTGACGGTAGCCCTAGTCCGTTTCCCAAACTCGGTATCTCAGTTAACAGCTGTCTCATTGGTCACCATCCAAACCAGCTAATCTCTCTAAACTATCACTGATATGAGCTGCAAAATGTTAGAATGGCTCTTCACAACCTCTTTCCATTTGTCCCCAGCCATACTTTGATTCAATCAATGGCCAATTCGTGTTCTTTCTAGATTTCCATGTGCCAGGATAAGAAGCAATGGCAGCCTCTACTAGAGACGTAACAGGGGGAAGGAAAGGAAAAGAAAAGAACACACAGTCATCTCGTACCTATTTTTTCCTCTTCCTGCAGTTTGACCTACCTATAGTTCCAGATTGATTTTTCTAAAAGCTTGACTCCAATCATAGGATTGCCCTCCCACTGCCTACTGAATTATATACCTCTCCCTTGTACTTCTCTGTATGTCTGAGCTTATACATTCCCCAGCACTTCCCTAACCTCCAGCTAAACAGGACTTCTTGAGCATGTGCTAGACTTACTGCCACCAGCCCTTGATCATCCCATTTCTTCTGCCAGAAACATTCTTCTGCTCACCTCTACCATCTATGGGTCCTTCAAAACTAATCTCAACCATCGCCTCCTTCCTAGACACTTTCCAGAACCTTCTCTTTTGAAACCCAATAGCTGATCCCATTCTGCCTTGTATTGTGGTTTGGGGTGTTGCCCACCTCATTTTGTTGATTAAATGGTAATCTCCTTGAGGGTCTAAATGGATTTTTTATTCATACTTGCTTTCTTTCTGATGGCTTGAGTATGGAAGAAAGTAAAATGTTTGTCAAATTGAAGATCAAAAACCCCTAAAAAGCCCAAGGGAACAGAGTTTTAATGAAGCGTCAGGCTGGGTGAGAGGTAGTGAGGCATAAGTGAACACAATGTGAGTAAAATTAAACTCAGACCTCAGGGGGAAGAGGGGTTGGGTGGGAGCAGAAGGTCTCCAGGAGTGAAGGGTGACTAAATTGTACCACAGCCATATCTTCTAAGCAATAACATCATTCTATCTGGGCCAGAGGAGTCCAGGATCTGGGCCAGGTTCTTCTCCATTTGTGCCCATACCCACAGGGTGAGGAGTTCACAGGCCCAATGGGATGTGCCCACGCCAAGGCCACCCCTAACCCCCTCTTCTAGACCTTGAATTCTTTGTCCAAATGTCTGCAGGCCCATTTTCAATGACTGTGTGCACTTCCATCTCAGGGTCTTCTATCCGTTGGCCTATGAAAAGGTGGCACAGGTGTCTGCCTGGGACGGAGATAGATGGAGCTTATTATACCTGCCAGCTGGGGAATCCATCGTGTATATACCAGCACCAGTGTGGTGTTGGCAGGAGCCAGGGATGAGAGAAGCAGGGAGATAAGCAAGAGGCTGGGGCAGGGACGTGGGGCCTTTCTTTACCTTATAGCCATGTTTTAGAGTGAACATCCAAGGAGTGTGAATTTGTAAAGAGAGGGGGATAGAACAAACTTTATTTAACAGTTTATTAGCTTTATTTATACCTGCAAAATATTTAGACATATAATATATGGGCCTTTATTTGCATTCATGCCCCAGGTCCTGGTTCCCAGAGCCCAATGCATGAGGCCTAAGCTATAGGCCACACTGCCTGGAGCCTTAGGTGGCTTTGCCTAATAAAGTAAGGCAGTATCACAAGGTGTAGACTTTCAAACCATTTTTACCAATAACAATAATAATAATAATAATACATGCAAACACTAGGTGTTGTGATCCAGCACACACACACACACACACACACACACACACACACACCCCTACAATTTGTTCTTGATTCTTTCATACGGGGATGAGTTTTGGGGTTCAGCAGTTGGATGAATGTTGGTGCTCTTTACTGAGATGGGAAGAGCTTGTAAAGAAATCAGTTTTGTTTTGTTCTTTACTGTTGTTTTGTTTTTCATTAAATTTATTGGGGGATGGTTAATAGGGTCATATAGGTTTCAAGTGTGCATTTCTATGATACATGATCTGTATATTGCACTGTGTGCCCACCACCCAACGTTAAATCATCTTCCTCACCATATATTTAGCCCCCTTACCCCACTCACCACTCTCCCACCCCAGCCTCTTGCTTATCTCCCACTGGTATCCACCATAATTTTGTCTGTTTATATGAGTTTTAGTTCTATATTCCACATATGAGTGAAATCACATTGTTCTTAGCTTTTTCTGACTGATTTATTTCACTTAGCATTTCCAAGGTCCACCCACGTTGTCGTAGATGGCAGTATTTCATCTTTTCTTATGGCTGAGAGTATCCATTGTATTTATGTACCACATCTTCTTTATCCAGTCCTCTATCAAAGGACACTTTGGTTGCCTCCATGTCTTGGCCATGGTGAATAATGCTGCAATGAATATAGGGGCGCATGTATTTTTGTGAATAAAGGTTTTCAAATTTGGGGGGTAGATACCCAGAAAAGGGGTTGCTGGGTCATATGGTAGCTCTATTCTTAATTTCTTAAGGAATGGCCATTCTGTTTTCCGTAGTGGCTGTACCATTCTACATTCCCACCAGCAGAGAATGAGGGTCCCCTTTTCTCTACAACCTCCCCAACCCTGTTTTTACTTGTCTTGTTGGTAACAGGTGTGAGGTGGCAGCTCATTGTAGTTTTGATTTGCATTTCCCTAATAGCTAGTCAAGTTGAACATCTTTTCATATATCTGTTGGCCTTTTGTATGTCTTCTTGAGAGAGTTGTCTGTTCAGATCCTCTGCCCATTTTTTAAAAGAATTGTTTGGTGCTGAGTTGTATGAGTTCTTTATATATTTTGAAAATTAACCACTCGTCTGAGCTATTGTTTGCTAATATCTCCCATTTGGTTGGTTGCCCTTTTGTTCTGTTGTTGGTTTCTTTTGGTTTGCAGAAGCTTTTTAGTTTGATATAGTTCCATTCATTTCTTTTTGTCTTTACTTCCCACATGCAAAAGAATGAAACTAAATTACAGTTTATCTCCATCTAAAAAAATTAATTCAAAATGGACCAAAGACCTACATATAAGATCTGAAACAATAAATTACATAGGAAACATAGGTACTAAACTTATAGACCTTGGTTGTAGAAAACATTTTATAAGTTTGACCCAAAAGGCAAGGGTAGAAATGGGTTTTGGAAAAGAAATCAAGAGTCCTTTTTTTGCCATTGTTTGTTTGAAACACATAGTAGATATTCACATGGAATCCAAATGTAAACATTGGGAAGGCAATTCTAGAGCCCAGAGGTAAAGACAAGACTGGAGATATATGTTTGGGTGAACTCTGTATAGAGTTGGCATGAAAAGCCACAGGAATAAATAAGCTAGTGTGGGGGGGAGAGGGGGGAGTGATGGAGGACAGAGAAAAGCACACACCCAAGTACGAGGCCCTGGGGTGGCCCAACATTGGGAGGTGAATAGAGAAGAAGTAAGTAAGGAGATGGAAAAAGAATAGCTATTGAGAGTGTGGTGTCAGGGAAGACAAGAGAAGAAAGTGTTTCAAGGGCTCAATTTCATCAAATGCTGCCAGGAGGGTGAGTAAAAGGAAGACAAAGAAGCAACCATTAAACATGGCAGTAGGAAGACACTGGGTGGCCTTGATTAGAGCCCTTTCAGTGGAGTGTTGGAGACAAAATTCTGACAGGTGTAGGTAGAAGAGGAACTGGGAGGCGTGGAAGTAGATTCAGTGAGTTTGATGGCTCGTTTGAGAAAGAGAACAGAGACGGGTGGCAGCTGAAGGGGAGGCAAAAGTCACTGAGGGGTTTTCAATAAGGCACAATGGAGCGTGTGTGGAAGCCATGGCGAAGTGGGAAGAGGAGAAAGCAAGAGGCAGGGAGAGAAAAGGATAATTGCAGGAGAGAGATTCTGGGGAAGGTGAGCAGGATGGGTTTCAGGGTACACATGAAGGCACTAGCGTTTGATAGGAAGGGGGACACTCCATTCACTGTGAAGGCACGAAGGGCAGGCTGCAGGCCTGGACACACATACGTTAGTGTACGCGGAAGTGAAAAGTTGATTTGGATGTTTCTCATCCTTTTAACAAAGTCTGCTCTATCTTATAAATTTAAACGTCTCAGGCCAGCTTCCTTCTTTCAGAGATTCTGCTATGGCTTGAGTTATAAGCTGCTCATTATCACCCCCCCCACCCGAAAATCATCGCTTTGTGGAATCCAGAATCTATCTCTTGAGCTCTGTCACCAGCCAAGGCCATGTGACCCCTTACCTTATTTTGCATTATGAAAATTATATTATTTTCATGTTCCAAACATCCATTTATATCTAATTATATAATTAGTAACTTTTGAAATCCTCCCCTACAGCGCCACTATAAATCAAGTCACCAAATTATAGATTAATGTCACTTACTTAGTTTAGTAGCTAAAATGCCATTAAACAGCTTGGCTCCTTTATATAGCTTCTTTCACTCCTCCCTTTTGGATGACAGTTAGAAGCTACTCTGAACTCCAAGGAGAGCTGGGGTCTGGTCATTGTCATCTTGCTAACTGGTCTGTCTCTTCGTGGGATCTTTGACACTGTGCTGTAGTGGCTGTCCATTTGTGTGGATTTGTTCATTTTAAGAAGAATATAGAGTTGCAGTCAAGAGATCAAGGTTCTTTTTTTTTATTGATTTCAGAGAGGAAAGGAGAGGGAGAGAGAGATAGAAACATCAATGGTGAGAAAGAATCATCGGTCGGCCACTTCCTGCACCCCCCCTACTGGGGATGAAACCTGCAACTCAAGTATGTGCCCTGACCAGGAATCAAACCGTGACCTCCTGGCTCATGGGTCAACACTCAACCACTGAGCCACACCAGCCAGGCAGTGGCTATCCATTTGTATCACCCACTGAATGAGTCCTTCTGTGAGGGGAGGAATACCAACCATCGTATTGTGCCTTGAAAGGCATTCAATTCATGCTCATTGACTGATTTAACAACTAGAACTAGGTGGGGATGGTTGTTTCGGCTGAATGGATCTGAGCAAAGCAAAACTAGACAGACAAACCTGTTGCAGCAAAATGGTTTCATGCCTCCCAATGCCACACTGAAGTCACCTGGGGGTTACGTGCTGTTTGTGGTTACCATGGAATATTCCCTCTCCTTGGAGTGGAGTATTTTTTTTACTATATTCTTAGGGGGTTGGTGTCCTCCTGGACATGGGTTTGGTGATGAGCTGTGGGTTATGCTCAGGCTTGGGCTGGGGAGAAGTGCAGCTGAGACAAGTTTGGGCACAGAGATGAACATAAAGTAGGACTGAGGATGTACAGAGAGGTGGGCCTGGGAACAGGTTGGGGATGAGTCTAGGGCTAGAGATGAGGATAGCACTGAAGCTGAGGGCTGGCTGAGGCTTGGGCTGGTAAAGGGGATGGGCTGTTCTGGGGATGAGCCCGAGGCTGGACTGGGGCCTGGGCTGGAAAGAGGGCTGGAGGTGGGAGTATGGCTGGTGATGAGGCTTCCTGTCCATTCACTCCCTCTTCCTGCAGTATCTGGAGCCCTGGTGCTCCCAGAAGTCAAGCTGGAGGGGATGCTGGGCGGATCTATTACCATTGAGTGCCCGCTTCCTGAAACGTATACGAGAGTGTATCTCTGCCGCGAGATAGACAAATCTCAAGCGTGTTTCACCGTGGTGTCCAACAAGCGCTTTGTCAGGAAGGAATACAAGCAACGCATCACCCTGAAGCTGTGTCCAGACCAGAACCTGTTTCTAGTGAAGGTGACAGAGCTGACCCAGAGTGACAGCGGAGTCTATGCCTGTGGGACAGGCACGCACACAGACCGGGGCAAGACCCAGAAAGTCACCCTGGATGTCCACAGTGGTAGGTGCCCGACCTGATGGAGGCTCCGCCCAGCCGGCAAACCTTTCCACTCAGGAAGGTTAGGACAGCATCGGACTATGGCAGTCCCCCAGACTCTATGCTAGTGCCATAATAGTCAGTCCAATAATAACTTGGATTTGGATTGGTGGACCCTGTAGAGTCAATTAAATTCAGGGTCCACAGAATTGTCTATGCAAGCAAGGTTGGCGCTCTCCTTGTGTTGAATTGTACCCAACCTACCCGGGGCATGAGGGGAGGAGCGGGGGCTGAGATTGAGGAGAGGCTCTGAGAGTGGAGGAAATTGGGAGCAAAAAGACATAATTCTCCCATGAGAAATATCAGGGGTGAATATTAAGGGAAGACAGTCATTTCTCAAGCCACATTTGTAGGCCAAACATGTTGCTTTAGGATCTGATCCTTTCCATATTTCTGCGGAGTCCTGTCTTTCTCCACCAACTCCCTTACACGCCAGCAGCACTAATTCAACAGCCTAGAAACCCAGAGGCCTCTGGGTTGATTGGGTTGGGTGAAAGGGTTTCTTTTTCTGCTCCTCTTGGGGGACCCTGCCCTCATCCCCTCGCTGCCATCCACCCTGGCCGAGTCAGCTTCAGCTCCTACCACTGCCCCTTCCCCAGGCTTCCAGCTCCTCCCAGAGCCCACCAGTGCATTCCTCATGCCTCCAGCAGAGTATGACCCCTTCTGGGAAGAGGAGCCGTTTCCACCATGGTCTCGGAGAGTTCCACCCATGGAGATGCTCCCTTGGTTCCAGAAACCTGTACTTGTCAGTTCCCTCGAAGTCCTTCCCCAAGGTCAGTTCCCCAAAGCTGGGGTGGGAGGGGTGGTGGAGGTGATAGGGCGTTGTGAGAAGGGAAGGAGGTTGTGTTCGTTCATAGAGTGGTTGGTTGGCAGAGCATAGCGGAGTCTCCGATGTGTGTTTCCCTGACTCAGGAGAGGGTACCCCCCTGAGGTCTGTTTCTGTGTCCTTCAAGCCCAGCCTACAGCCTGGACACTCGGCTCTAGTCGCAGAACTGACATCACCACTAGGTGGCACCGCAAGCAATGGAGTTTGTGCTCCATTCACAAAATCCAGCTCTTTTATGAATGACTGCGGAAACCGAAATGGGGCAGAAGGTTCCCAGCTGGAGCTCATTATGACTCCTGCTGCCCACAGGGCTGTCTTCCACTTGCTGCCATACAGTGATCTTAACAACTCTATTTTGCAATGAAAAAAAAAAAGAATGATTATACTTAATGATACCTTTACATTCTCTATCATTTCCCTGTTTTAAATGCATTTTGACATGCAATATTGCCATCCCACCTACCCTGTGGGGTAGATACATTAATTGAACATGGTGTCACTCGAGGACCCTGCTGGGCGCCAAGAGGGAGAGTGCAGCTGAGCTCATTATGTGCCCCTGGTTGTGACTGACAGGTGTGTGTGTGTGGGGGGGGGGGGACAATAGACAAGCACATGGCAGAACACAAGGCTTTCTCCATGCTCAGAGGAGGGGAGGCTGATCTGCCTGGGAAGCCGGGGAAGGCTGCCTGGAGAAAATGGCGTTTGAAGCAAATCTGGGTAGAATTTCCTGGGTGTGGACGGCACTAAGAATGCTAGGAAGGCATTCCAGGCCCTGAGGAGTGCAAGAACAAAGGTAGCCTAGGTCCGCGGTCGGCAAACCGCGGCCCCTTGAGTGTGGCTCTTCCACAAAATACCACGGGTGGGCGCGCACGTGCAGTGCGACTGCAACTTCGTGGCCACACTCAAGGGGCCAAAGAGCCGCATGTGGCTCACGAGCTGCAGTTTGCCAACCACTGGCCTAGGTGAAAGGGGAGTGTGTTCAGGAAAGAGGTGGTCACGGCCCACCCCTAAGGGGAGAGTGTGTTCAGGAAAGAGGTGGTCACGGCCCACCCCTGCTGGAGACCAGGGTGTGTGATGGAAGATCACTTTTTCCCACTGTCTCCTGCAGTAACCTCACCGGCTCCAAGGACAGAGACCCCTCCAGCACACCACCCCTCCCCCACCACCCCAGTCACCCACCGCCCTCGAGTTTCCAGGTCATCGGCAGTGGTGGCGGCCAAGCCCACAACCCGCCAGCCATCCACCACAAGCTCAAAGACCTCAGCACCGGAGAGGCTGCTCAGGCCCCAGACAGCCAGCTACAACCAGCACACCAGGCTTCACAGGCAGAGGTGAGAGGCCTCCACCACCCGGGATGGGCTAGAACCCAGGCAAAATAGTCTAGAATTCGGAGACCCACTGAAATGTCTACCAACCAAGGCCCTTCTTGGCTTTGTCTCTAGAAGGCCACTGTGACACAGACGACCTGTGAGTATAGCACATTAACTCTTTAGTGCCCTTAACATGAATATACTTGCCAACGCCCCAGCAGGCGATCCTGTAGAAGCCAGACCCCAAATTTTCAGTCCCTCCGCATTCATTCACATCTGTTTCGATGGGGAGAAACTAAACGAGAATAAAATTAACGACTAAACTATTGAGGATTATAACTACTTTCACGTGTTTCCTTTTACTTTTTCAATCTAGCTATTAGGAAATTTTAAATTACATGTATGATTCACGCTATGTTTCTATTGGACAGCACTGCTCGAAAGGCTAGATGCTAGGGAAGTGCTGTAATAGACCAGTAGGGGGCAGCATTACAGCAGCCGCCAAAGAAAAGCTACAATAATCGGAATTATTTTTACCTAAGCAAAGATCAACATGTGAGTGAGGAAAGGGACCTTCATTTAGGTCTTATAGATGAGGAAACTGAGACCATGAGAGCGAAGTAGTTTCAAACGGAACCAGGATTCCTGATTATTGTTCAGGAAATGACAACAGCCTACTAGGGAAGAAATCAAGGCAAGTCAATCAACATTTTCTTACTCTGTGTCAAGCATGGCGCTATGTCCTGAAGATGTAGAAAAACGAAGCCATGCGGTATATAGGTCTATCTCGCTAATGCAAGTCTGACCGTGACAAAGGTTGTAAATGCTATGATCACCAGAATTGGGAAGAGGGAGAAAAGAATCGGTTCTGGTTTGCCATGTTCAGGGAAGAGGACTTACCTGCTGGCTCTTTGTGGAAAGTAAAATTTCCACATGCAGAGGAAAGAGAGGGGAGGCCTCCTAGGCAGAGGGAGCACCATGAGAAAAACATCCTCTTTCCCACAATGAGAAGAAACGAACTCATTGAACATTTGCAATAAGCTTGAGGAAACTGAGGTACAGAAAGGGAATCTGACATTTGCTGACCGCCGCGTAGACCCGGTGCATGAAGTTCTTTTCATCCACTCTGTGGTTCGCCCTTAAACGGTTCTGTGAAATCGGTTTTACTAGACCCATGGACAGGGAAATGAGGCTCAGAGAAGGTAGGAGACTGGTTCCAGATCACACAGCCAGTGAAAATCTGAATCTAAATTTGAACCCAGGTTTCCTGGCTCCAGAAACAAGCCTCTTTGTT